TTCAGCCTTGGAATTTCCCAACTCTACTGAACAAAGGGTAATAAAAGGTAGCTGTTCACTTACCACTACATGACAACAGAGCAATTGAGCTTTGGAGATGTAGACAGACTAATAATTGAATATTTCTCAAATGTGTGAATGAAATAAAACACAAGGTAACAATATTTTAACATGGCTTAAAGCTCACAAAAGTCAATTTTACATAATATAGGACGTTTACTGTAATTTTTCTTTTACATAGTGATGCATAGACATTGTTGTGACCTCAAGTCTCATGTTGCACTGCACCATGGGATCTTATGTCACCGCCCCAAACTGTATTAAAGAGATGAGTCTGTACACAGTCCTCCTCAGAGCAGGCAGTGTCATGTATGTCATAACATGTACTGGGTGTGTCATTTCCCCTTTTTGTCCAGACATGTTGTTTCAGCTGCCACCTCTGCATTCTTTTGACATGCAATGTGCCATGCTTTCTGATTTTACTAAAACAAAGTCGGTGAAAAGGATAGGGCTGGTTATGGAGTGTTTTCTTATTAGACGAGTTCACCCCAGAACAGAGAAGGGATCAATTTGCTTTATAGTTCATCTCTGTAGTGAACATTGAGGTTTCTCTTGTCATTTTTAATCAATCAATTAAACCAGACACATGACCTGAGTTTTAAGGTCTTACATTGTGCAAAATTGACTCTTGTCCAGTTATAATGTTGTTACAGTGTCACAAACATGGAATACTTAGAGTTGTTTTGTTTCATTCACACATGTTTGAGTAATCCTTTATTATAAGTCTGTTTATCCAAAGCTCAGAATGCTCTGTTCCACCTTGTGATGTCATGAAGCTGTAGTTTTCAAGTTAACAGCTACCTTTTACATTTTGTTCGGTAGACATGAGTAATTCCAGGATTGAACTCATCCGGATGATTTTACTTAAGGTGTGTGGAGTTTAAAAACACCTTTTCCGTATTACAACATCACAAGTTGAGACGGAGTGTTTTCAGTTTGAGAGAAGAACTCAGCTTAAATATGCAAGGCTTGAGTGTTAAATATGTGTGAATGAAACTAAACTCCAAGTATGTTTTTGATGAGGAAACAACATTGTAACATAGATTAGAAAATACCGTAATATGGACCCAGTACTATATACAGTCCCACACTACAGGGTTGCAAGAATACAGACCTCGATGAATGTGTAACAATATTGATGCAGTTCCAATTACATTTAAACCTCAAAAGAATAAAAAATGTATGCTCATTCTAATCATCTCAACATTTTATTAAATAAGACAACCTCTACCTGTTTGAATCTAGCAGAGTCAGGCCTTTATGGAGCTAATTTTATATGGATATTCTGGAAAAGTATACATTACTAACACGCTGGAAAAGTGACGTGTGCTTTTTGACTCATGTATCACACTGTGAACAATTCAATATTAAGTATTGTTTGCATCCCTACGGCTGCTACTAGCGTTGGGCATGATTAGTCGACTAATCAATAATTGATCGTTAAGAATTTCGTCGATCACGTTCATTTTTAATCGACAAACCGATTGTAGGTTGCTGTGCATAGCGTAAGGAGACGAAGTCTCGTCTGACAGCGTAAACACTGGAGTTGCGGCCTGACAGTCCCACGTTTCAGCTCTGGCACTTCTTTGGCGATCACTGTATCACTCAGTGATAGTTTACAGCACATCAGTGTCCCGGGTATGATCGGTTTTTTTTGAGTGTCCCTGTTTCGTCACGGTGCATGTCTACGCAGTATGCCGGTTACTCCGACATAAAGTTGAGTGTGCATGTGTCCAAAAGAGAAACACTTTTCGGTCTTTTCATCACAGCAGTAGCCAAAATAAATAAAGTGACCAAACAAAGTGAGTGAAATCATGTTAAATAAAGAACTGCACTAAGATCTAAGACCAGCCCTAATCATATATGTAAATGAGCCATGTGGTTTTAAGTTTCGTGTCTTTAATACGTAAACAAATGTGTCAAAGCTGCATTAATCACATTATAATCTCAAACAGGCTGATGTGGCTCTATAGTTTTTATGCTTTATCTGTTTTAAAGTTGAGTTTATTTATGCAGATTAGTAATAATAATATTGATGATGATAATTTTAATACAAAAATGTTAATGATTAATTGAAAATTGATCGTTAATTCTCCCGACAATCAATTATGAAAATTTAATCAAATGCCCATCCCTAGCTGCTACTGTACTGTATTGTTGTCTGTGGTAGAATATTAATACATATTGTTGTGCTGCGGACTAGAGATACTCGGGGTTATGAACATAGCCAAGGAAATGACTACTATTCATCAGAGCTGTTCTCTCCGCCACAGTGGGCACGTCGGGTTGATTTAGAGCCAGGTCCAGTATGGCTGCGCACAGCATATGAAGAGCCTGCAGTCACTCAGCTGTTGGTCACTGACTCACACACACATGTACACACACACAAATACATGCATGCATACATACACATACACACACGTACACACCTCAGCACACAAATAGAAAGCAGTGGTGCATAGCGGCTGTTTTAACATTAACTTGCTCCACTGGACAGAGAATAAAATGAGGTCCAGGTACTGTTAGGATGTAAAGTGTGTGGATAATGGTCTTGTGAAAGGGCAGCCTCGCTATCTATTCTTTTATATGTGTTGCCGTCAGCAGTCACTCCATTTGGATTTAATGAAGAACAAAAGCTCAAGCTATCAACTGTGGTCAGGTCACTGTTTTATGTAGGGAATTGTGCTGTGTGTAGATGCTGCTGTGCCTAGATTAAATCTTTTAGATGTTCAGTACATGTGAAGGCGCCTCATGTGCATGTAACTGGTAAATGGAACATGGAGAATAATTAGATTTCAAACAAAAGCCTCCTTCCATCTCCTTCATCTATGGGTCTCCTCAGGGGTGTGTACTCTGGCCTGTCTTGTTCATACTACACGTGAACAAATGCAACTCCTCAGACAGTAGATTTCTGATCATATTTTCTGATGGTATGTCCTGGTGTCTTCAGTTTTAACATCTAAAACAAACCATAAACCTGCTCTGGTTCAGTCTATTCAGTTGTTTTAATGAGTTGGCATAAATGACTGAATGATTTTTAAATGTGACACAAGAAAATGAGAAACTGTTTGCAAGTTCCACAAAACTGCTGAGCATGACACTTCACATACCACCTATTGAGGTAACGGAGCTGCAAATAGAAAAATAGAAACTTGGCTGGTTACTGGTTCTAAAAAACTGCTGAGCCTTATTAAAGCCTGTGTCAAACAGTGAGAGCTGCACTTCCTGGGAGGAGTAGGTGAAAATGATGTAGGGTAGTCCAAATTTTGTCTTTAATTGATAATTGTCATAATTCAGGTAATGGTGTAATACCAGCTATCATAATCATAATCATTATTTCAATTCAATCATCCTCCAAGCATGTAAAACCTCCAAAGTGACTTTTTATCTGGGAATTTTGTGACACAAACTTCTCATTCACAGTGCTTGGTGCTCTGGTTGCACACCAGGGGAATGGCAAATAGCATATCTGACAATGTGACAAAAATGCAGATGTTTCTTTCATTTCAAGATTTTCTCCACAAAGAAAACTATTAAAAATGTAATTTTCACGTTGAATAAGTGATACACGATTTAATTTCATTGATGTTGACACGGCCCGATAATCTTGTGTTTGGAGAGAGGCGCTTCAGATCTACCGATCATTCAGATGATTTAGAAGCTGGTTTCACTGTTTGGTTTAGAATAAATTACTGATTTTGTGAAAGCAACAGAGATTTTTGTTGGGAGGTACCGCTTCTGTGAGCTGTGGCTGTTATTATGAAATACTTTTTATTATCAAGTGTTGAAGACTATTCTTTGAGTTGTTTACATAATTAAATTGTCAGTATTTGAGGTTTTGTGCAAGAGAACATTACAGTGATGAAGGGAAAGTTTTTTCTTGTTTAGTCAAGCCCTTTAAGTTTCTGTTGATAAAGTAGAAATTTACATATTTTGGCTTGAAAACAGCCGAAAGTGGTGAAGAATAATAATCATTTCATTAAAATGCACTTAAGATGCCTCATTTGCACATATACGTTTGCTTTTTATAGCTTTTTAACTTATGATCTGCATCAGTGGAACACCAGGCGACCAAATTGCCTGTGCTAAAAGGTAAATTTATTCAGTTAAAGTGAAATTAACTGGAAGTTTGTGTGTGAAGTAGAGCTAAGTACCCTCTGACTGCTGTAATTGGATGTGTCTGTGTTTTTGTCTGTTCACAAGGTCTTGAACACTAAAATAGTGCTATATAGAGTCTTTTTAGTACTGTGCTGTTTACACTACACTACATCATTTGTTTTTAGCTCTCGTCATTGCTCATTGACTCAAGTATGATTGATTGAGACCAGCAGTAGAGTAGGATTCATTCATATTCATTAGAGGAAGAGCACTTTGCAGATCCGCAGGCCACACCACACACTGTACTTCACTCCACTCCCTTTATCCTGGAGCCTTTTTAAGTGTTTGCACAAGTGTCTATTCAGTTTACCAAAGGAGGGCATGCCGGTGATGAGACACAGCACTTTTATATTGATACTGGGGGTGTTTTACATGCATATCTATTGGCAAAATGTTCAGCAGGTTCCATGGTGACACAATGCACACATTAACGAACACAACACAAAACTTTTAAGATACAAAATAGATTTAAACAACTCACAACAAAGGTGAGAGTGACTAAAAAGGTAATTCTGTCCAGATTCTGATTGTAATTATATGTGTGAGAGACTTGTAACCGCACAAATCAGCTGCTGTATTTCCAAATAAATCAGCTCTTTCGGGTTAGATTGTGGTAAAACAAAAGTCAGAAGTCTAAGAAAGTCCAACTTGAGTAACCGCTTCAGACAGAGCGGTGCTTTCTGTTAGCATCACACTCCCAGTGAATGTTGATGACATGAGCTGCAGAGTATCAGGTGAACTATTTGTTGTGTTTCTTCTTCTCATATATCTTTTCTTTACAGGTTCACCACAGAGGGATCCTCCGGGGACAGCACCAGGCTTTCTTCTGCAGTGCAGCCTCGCCCTCCAGTGGTAAGATGCTGTTACTACATCCAATCTCTGCATTATTTTAACAAAGATTTGGAGATCACACATTTTAACTTGTAAATCTGTTTGGCTCCATGGAGATGTTATTGCTTTATGAGAAATGTTTCACAATATGGTGTTAAATCTCCTCTATCATGCCTGTTATGGTTTTGTAAAAAGAAAAGCCTTGAAAAACATACATTCTTACTTTGAGCGGGGTTGCCTCTTCACAAATCAGATCAAATCAAATTTATTTGTACAGCACGTTTAAAACAACCAAAGCTTATTAAAGTGCTGAACAATATTTACAGTGAATAAAAACATACAATAAGCAAATCAAGCAGAATAATAATGCTAAAAATAATAATAAAAACGAAGTGCCAAGGTGTCTCTTCCTAACAAAATGGTAAATGGTCACGTTTTTCTATAGCGCTTTTCCACCTTCAAGGCACTCAAAGCGCTTTACAACAAGGAACCACTCACTCATTCACACATCAGTGCACTCAGACACTGTGGGCAAGGTGGGTTAAGTGTCTTGCCCAAGGACACAACGACAGCATTCATCTGTGGGAGCTGGAATCACACCAGCCAACCTGTGGGTCAGCGGATCTGACCGCTCAACCAGTGATGGTTGGTGTCAAGAGTGGAATTTGAACCGCCAACCTTCAGATCAGCGGACAAACGCTCTACCAACCGAGCTACTGCCGCCCAACAAAATGCAAAGTACAAAAGTTCCTTTTTGAGCAGATCGGATATATAACTTGGGAGCTGTCACCTGCTCAAGTTTATACATTTAATTCCATATTGTGGAAAAATAAGTACCAAAGTTTCCTTTTTGTAGCTGTCAGACTGTACAAGGAGCTACTTGAGCCACTCTCCTGTAGTAATTGATCCTGTTCATATGACAGTTGCAACACTGAAATTTCCTCATTCTGGGACAAATAAAGGTTTTCTTATCTTATCTCTTATCTTTTAACATGTCGTATTCATTCAGACAAGAAGGCGACAGAACCTCCTACTGAAAAGTTACGCAATACACCTTTTAACCTGTTAAGTTACTATCATATTTATTTATAAACTTCAGAGGTAATTATACGATCAGCTTGAGTAAATTTAATTTTGTTTTGTTAAGATTTAATTGACATTTCTCAGGCGTTGTAGCTGTTGCATAACATTGACTTACTGTGACACACTGGCCGAGAATGCAGCAAACTTTGAGCAGGTTTTGCAAAAAAAATAGTTGACACATTCTCAAGTGTTACTGAAGAAAGCAGATTTGACCCAGCAAATGGCACTCCCATGTTTTGTACCTTTTTGGTTTTGCTTTTGATTCATAGTCTTGTGAATCAAACTAGACAGACATCAGCAAAACAAATTAAAAGAATGAACATTAATATAAACAAAAATAATGTTAAAATAAAAAGTAAAACCAGTAATTTTTTAAACTGGTATTTTAATACTTTTACTTACGTAGATTGTTTATGGGATCTGTACTTTTACTTAAACAACAAAATTGAGTAGTACTTCCACCATTAGTTATTTGTATATCTCTTTTTTATTTATTTTTGGTCAGCTGATGTTGTTTTAACAGTGCTAAATAAATAAACTTGAATCGGAAAAACATGATTGGTTATGAATTAATCCGATTGTACCTCACGGTGCTGTTCCTCTGCTGCAGATGTCTCTCTGAAATATAAACATGACCGTCTGGTGCTGGAGGTGCCGCTGCCGTCCAGGAATGAGAAGTGTGTGTTCTACTTGAGGCCCATGTTGATGAATGCGGGCGACCTGATCAATGATCTGCAGAAGGAGGACCCTGGAGTCACCGCCTCTGTGCTGTCCAAGGGTATAAGTCTACGACACACACACACACACACCGCCTCTGTGCTGTCCAAGGGTATAAGTCTACGACACACACACACACACACACACACCGCCTCTGTCACACACACACACACACACACACCGCCTCTGTGCTGTCCAAGGGTATAAGTCTACGACACACACACACACACACACACACACGCCTCTGTGCTGTCCAAGGGTATAAGTCTACACACACACACACACACCGCCTCTGTGCTGTCCAAGGGTATAAGTCTACGACACACACACACACACACACACACACACACACCACCTCTGTGCTGTCCAAGGGTATAAGTCTTCTATACATTTCACTTACCTATACACAGACACACACATAAACACACTCAGCCACACAGAAATAGGGTTTCCATGCTTTGAGGACATTGCATTGACCTAATCTTAAAGGTTCTTTATTACACAAAATTGACTCTTGTGAGCTTTAAGTTGTTATAATTGTAGTTACCTCCTCAAAAACAGACCTGGAGTTGTGTTTTGTTTCATTCACACATGTTTGAGTAACTCTGCATTATTAGCTTGTCTACACAAGGTGAAACAGGCATCCTCTGTTCCACCTTGTGATGACTCTAATTTAAGGTGTACGGAGTTTAAAAACACAGTGGAGTTTTCTGTTAAAGAAAATAACACAGCCTAAATATGCAGGGTTTGTGTTTTAAACATGTGAATGAAACAAAACACAACTCTAGGTCTGTTTTTAGTAAGGTACACAACACAAAACCTTTAACTCTTGATTTTGAGTTACAAATGAACTGTTTGAAATGAAGTGTATGTATAGTGAGTGTGCTGGTTTTAAGTACTTTCATGTGATTGTTCTTTTCCCTGTACTATAGATGATTTCGCATCAACCTGATGTGAAATCATCTACTGCCTAATCATCAACCTGCTGAGGGGCTGAAGATGGAAATTAGCCACATTGGTTATAATCTTTATACATTTACATTTTAAATGTTCATTAATATGTGCTGTCCCTTTAAATAAATAATAATAAGATACAAAATAGATTTAAACAACACATTTTCAGGAGCCTGTGACCAATAGTTGGTTCATGTTCCTGTTTAGATGCTGGCCAGATTCTGACTGTAATTATACCAGTCAAAAGTTTTAGAATGCCACACTTTTTTCCAGGTTTTTACCGTTGACCAAAACATATTCTAAACTTTTTTATTGAGGAAAGTGTCCACCTTTGGCAGATATAACTGCTGAATCCACTCGTGGCTCGTTTTTTCTACAGTGGAAATCAAATATTCTTCAGAAAGTTCTTCCCAAGTCTGTTGCAGAAGTTCTCATAAATATGTGGCACTTGAAGGTTTCTTTTCTTTCACTCTTCTGTCCAGTTCATCCCAAACCAGCTCCATGGGGTTTAAGTCTGGACACTGTGCTGGACACTCCATGTTTTCAAATTTACCATCTTGTTCTTTTTTCCTGAGGTAGTTTTGGCAGAGCTTGGACCTGTGTTTTGTTATGGTTTATCTTTTGTTTTAACCTCTGACTGTTTAAGATTTACCTTTGTAGCATTTGAAGCTTTTTATTGGACTTGCACGACTTGAATTGCAACAAATAATTGGAAAAGTTAGGATGTTCTAAAACTTTTGACCGTTCGTGTATATGTGAGAGACTTGTAACTGCACAAATCAGCTGTTGTAGTTTGAACTAAATCAGCTCTTTCGGGTCAGACTGTGTTAAAACAAAGTCTGAAGTCTAAGCATAATATAATATGGGCCCTTTAATAGGCTGAAGAGAAATAAAATAATATTAGCTGCAGATGGTTAATTTTCCTTTAAGAAAGACAAATCCCCATGAATCGTGTTAAAAGATTTCAATCTCCAGGACATGATAAAGACCTACCCACACACATTACTTAAATTTTTACGCTTTACAGTCCTTCACCTGACTTCTGGTTTTTCAAGTTTTGCATTGTTGTAAATTGGGAACAGCAGCATTTGGTAACTGGTTCTTTGCCCGTAGAATATAATTTCACAAACCATTAACCCATAATTCCCCTTGTTATCAGACTTTCTAAAATCCGCTTGAGTTTTATGTATCAAAACACAGTGTATAAAGGACACATGCTTGATTTATTCCTGATTAACATTTAGATGAAAAAGGTGTACGATGCATAGAGGACCTGGAAATGACTACAGATAAGATTCAAGTAGGTCTGTCACGATAATTACTCTATCAACTTTAATATATGAAAGCTGGATTTATAATTTTTGGGGTCCAATATTTATCGTGTATACAATTTCTTTGGAAAAATTGGGTATTTTTTGTTGTAATACAATAAGATTTGAGCTGTAGAGGGTTGAATATTTAACTTCTGTGGCTAATTATTGCTCTATTCTGTCATGTATTTGTTGCAGTTCAGACCTTTTTTAATGATACTGTTTATTTGAAAAGGTTTACTGGGGTTATTCTGTTTTATTGGTATTGTGCCAGTTGTCAGAATTATCGTTTATTGCAGTTTATCTCTGTAGCAGTATCACCGCTTATTGCTGCTTCTATCTCTAATTTGCTTTCTGTTCCACTTTTGTTTTTTTGCAGATGGAGAGCGTGTTGCAAACAGTACACCCTTAGAAACTTTACTGGACAAGGACTTCAAGCTGGTCATCAACGACAGTGTGCATGATGTCCATTCTCCTGAGAAAGGTACGCATTCATTTGAATCTATTTGAACATTCTGGTCACAGCCCAAAGAGCAGGCCCCAAGTTACCCGACCTTCTCTAGAGGCATGTGCCAGGTCGTAGTCTCAGGTCTGCTGTTAAATATTCCACAGAATAAGTTTAATTTTGAATTTGATTCAAAATTATTATATTTTATATTATTCATTTGAATATGTTGTACCTAAACTATGGAAATCATGAAACCTCAATCTTAGAAAAACAAAATCCGTTGAGTAAAACTGATTTAAAGACTCCCCTGTATAGACTGTAGACTCATTTGGTATATATTGGTGTTTTATTCTGGCTTTATTGTATTTTATAATGTTTCTGCTATTTCTTTTTTATGAATGTGAATATGTTTGATCTGTACAGAATGACTGATCTCTGTGAAAGGCGCTCTATAAATTCACATTTTTTCTGCAGTGGCCATTTCCAGTGAACATGCTGTACAGATGGAGGACATGAAACACATGGTCCATTTGCTTCACACTGCCCTAAATCTCCCAGACCATCACATGCTGAAAGAACGCGAGCTGCTGGAGAAACTAGATTCACTCAAACAGGAGCTGTCCCCACTGGAGAAGGTAACTTTATTTAAAGCAGACCTGGGCCACAAATTCAGCTTTTAACCATGTTAGAATTGTTTCCCCTTCTCATTTATCCTCTCAAACTTCTGCTCCCATTGGGCACCACAGTTTTGTGGAAGTCAGCGGACTAAATGGTTTTAGATGAATATTGCAATTTAAAATGTGGAAATTATATCGTAATGATCCATGGGTGTCATAGATGATCTCAAGCACAGTATGTCTTCTTTAAAGGTGCAGTATGTAACTTTCTCGATGGAGTTTGCTGCCTCTTTGTCTCCTTGGTTACTGCTTTGCCTGGAATGTCCCATAGTATAGCACCTTGCAATTACAGGTGTTTTGAGGTGTGAGGGGGGGTCACCTTTCCACAGATCTGACCCATAACTTGGCCTATAGTGGCATCATATGCTTGTTGAAATGGAGATAGATAAGTTTAATAATGCCATATTGTGGTGGACCCTCTACCTGAAAAGATACATAGCGCTTTTTAAATACTGTAGTGATACTTCGCAGAGACTTTAAGCCGGGGGTGTTCGTAAATGTGCTTTGTGTCACCATGAACTCACAAACACTGCCCAAAAAGTTTTAAGACAGTCTGAAGTTTTTCAAGAGCCTATGATAAATACAAGCATTTATGGTGTTGTTTAGGAGTATGAGTTTCAACAGAAATGGTAACTAAAAGAACTAGTAACTACCACTAACCAGCTTGTGAGAGAGAGGCTTGTTTAACGGCAAAGTCAGTTCTTTCTGGTCAGATTGCATTAAAATAAAGCTCAGATTAAAGTCCAACATGAGTAAAAGTGGTTGTGACAGAGCAGTGCCTTCAATTTGCTTCACACCGCCAATATCAATATTTCATGTAAACAATCATTTTTGAAAAGAAAATATGGTTCTGAATTTTTCTCTTAATAAAAAACAATTGTTTTGTCCAGATGAAGGCGGATTTGTCACGTAAAGCTGAGTTCCACTCTTCCAAAGCCCTGTGGACGGGGATGGCTCTGCTCTCGGTGCAGGGAGGGGCTCTGGCCTGGCTCACCTGGTGGGTTTACTCCTGGGACGTCATGGAGCCGGTCACGTATTTTATCACTTATGCCACCAGTATGGGGGCGTTCGCATACTACGTCCTCACCAAACAGGCGAGTCTCAGCGCACACCACACATTTAGACCTGTAACTGTATGAAAATGGCACAGTTTAATTTTCCACTTAAAGGAACTGTATGTAAGATTTCGATTTTAAACTTCATTAACTTCTGTGTCACCAGATCAAATAAAATATCACTTTTACTGATGACAATTCAAACTTCATATTGATAACAATTTCTGCAATTCTGGAGGTTCTGAGCTTTAATGTGAGGCATGAACTGTCCATATACTGAGGAAAAACTTGCATGTGTTCATTATCTGCAGGTTAGACACTGGCAGCTCAGGTTCGGCTGTGATTGTAATATCTTTATTAAAGTGTGCAAGCTACATACAGTTTCTTTAAATGTAATTTTTCAATCTATATTTTCTGTGAATGTTTGAGTTTCTTGGAATGCCCACCCTTTCTTAGCTGTGAAATATAATAATGTGTAGTAGTAATAATGTGTGTGTGTCTGTTTTCTTCAGGATTACTTGTATACAGAGGCCAAGGACAGACAGTTTCTGAGATACTTTTACAAAGGAGCTTCCAAGGCTAAATTCAACGTAACAAAATACAACAGTCTAAAAGAAGAACTGGCACAGGTTGGTTAATGTCGCTCAGCAGGTTTTATTGCTTTATCTTCTCACGTTTCAACCCAAACATAATTAAAGGAAGCTTTCTCGAGTAAAGAATCCTTTCTTTTAGGTGGAGGAAGATCTGAGACGCCTGAGATACCCAACTCAACTTCAGCTCCCAGTGGAACAGATCCAAATAAAGCCATGAACATGACACTGAAACAGCCAGCAGAAAGACTTACATGACACATTTTCATCATTTGACATGTTTACAGTTCCTTCTATTTGATAATGCAAAGATCATAACTCTACTTGTATACTTGCCTGTATCATTTGAAAATGTCTTGCATATGTTTGCTGCTACCACTAGGAATAACAAAAGTTATTAAAACTCTTTTTTGCTATTCAAGGAAATGGAATTGTGCTTTTTGTGTGTTGGTCGATGTACATTCTTTTTCACTGCCTTGATGAACATTTGGTTAAACACTCAGTGTAGAAGCTTTTTAAGTAAATGTAAAAAAAAAAAAAAAAAAAAAAAAGAACTAATAAAATACTGCCTTCATAAAAAAGATATGCTTGTGTATCTGTGAGTCACAGACAGAAGCTGTACTTGCCCTCTGTACTTTAAAGTGCACATGACAGGTTATTTTTAATATTTGTTTTGGTGGGGCTGAGCCTGTGGTAAATATTGATAATACTTTACCACACTTACTAATATTTCAGGAAGCTCCATGTTCTGAAAAGGAATCCTGTCCTCACATAACATACACATAACTACATACAAAATGCAGGAGCAATCTACATCATATACATACACGAACACAGTACAAACAATTTATATTAAATCACATATTTTGTGTGTTGATGTGAATTTGTGTTGCAGATATTCACAGGTACTGCTAATGTTTTAATTTGTTTGTTTATTATTGCGTACAGTGTATCCAGACTTCTAAAACGGGCCTTCCTGGGCACTGTAACGACAAAGTGCAACAGAGAAAAGTCCTGGCACACGTTTAACTCCCTTCTAAGTTGCTCAGCAGGTTTTAACAGGAATGCTCCATCTGATGTCTTGTCTCCAGTTCATGTTTGTCTATAGGCTCTTGTTCTGTCATGTGTCTAAGCCTGGTGCATGTGTGATAATGGATGTGCATGTAAATAGCTGTAAATAGTTTTGTAGGCACATTGTTTTAAGTCTTTTTAGGGTGACAATATGGCCTGCTGGTGTATCTGGGGATTACTATTAGCCAAATCTGGTACATTTACAGATATTTTCTTTAAAGTACGCTGTCCCTGTAAAATAAATAATTAATAAAATGATCTGAAGTTTCAGCCCAAACATATTTTGAAACAAGACTTGTGGCCCTATTACACATTTTAATCATTATAGTCATTGTTTAGAGTCCTTATTTGATAATGCACACATATATTAAAATAAGCCTGCATAAGTTGTCTTTGTATATGTGCGTCTAACATTGGGATCGCAAACTTTTAATAAACATTTTTTGCAATAGAAAGAAATGGAATCATCCTTTTTTGATGAATAAAGATCAAGGATTCTTGGTAAAGGGTTCTTCAATATGGAACTTAACACTAAATCAACTTTTTGCTGCTAAATATTGTATATAGTGTTTATTACCATTGTCTAATGCAGTTTTAGTGCAGAACTAGATAAACACTTTGCACTATAATTACTAATTGGTTGGTGTCATAGTCCCAGAGACAGATTCCCCCATAATAGCCTTGTACTTTACCATAAAATATCCAAAAAGTTTAATCACAAATGCTTAACGTAATCTTTTCTAACTGTAACTAGACTAATTAACTTGCTATGTTACAACAAAAACCTATATTCTAATTGTATTTTAGCTGCTCCGCCATCTGTATTAAATATTATTGGCCTATAAAATCTTGTGATGTCACCTGAAACCCAGCAATTTCAAGTACTATGTGACATCAAGCAGGACTGCCTTTATTAAGAAGTTTGAAGTATAGACACCCATTAGGCTAATCAGTGTTCCTCATACCTCCAGACCCAGCCCCTGCTCCCTTTTTCACTTTCACTTTCTCCTTTAGTCGTCCAGGTAGTTCCCGGTTTGGCTGCTCTGTTTGAAATGTAGCTGTGGGCGGAGTTTAGATGTTTAAGCTCACTTCTGTCAAATCTGTACTTCATAATGATAAACACCTTCGTCCGAAGTGAAAGGAAACACCGTATCATGAGATTCTATTTTTCCTTTTTCTGTTTACTCTGTCTGTTCGATATAGTTCCACTCCCATTATTATCAACCGATCTCACATCTCAAATATGCAAAATGCCATTCTTAAATCACCACAATGGAAAAAAGTTAAGTAAAAGATTGTTTATTGTACTGTCAAAATCAAATAAATGTATGCTGCTGGTGTATGTTTTCCTGAGTGATGAGTCCACTTAAGTTTTATATTTGGTCTAAATTCACCTCCAGTAATCCTCTATATTCCCTGAGGTTCTTAATCTAAACAAAGACAATTTTAAACAAACTTGGCACAGTACCGTCACAGGTTACAGCGTTAAAATATACAGTACAGTCATTCCCTTTTTTCAGTGGCATTACACATAAATGCTTTGATGATGAGGGACTTTCACAATCATATCGCTAATAGCCCCTAATAAAACATTAACCAGGACAGACAGGTCTTTTCGCCCCGCTCAAGGTCACTCGCAAAAGTACAAGTTATTAACATTGGTCAGCACTTTTATCACAAAATTACCTAAATGTCAAGTGAAATCGACTCCATAATATGACAGATAAAATGTGTATTCATACCAGGGGCTGCGCCAGGCATTTTTGGTTGGAGGGGATGTGGAAGGGGTTAAATTTTTCAAGCGTCGTTCACACTTTATTGTTAATTTAGAGCTTTTAATGGACATAAGCCCTCACCTCCTACTATGTTTGTTAAAAAAGTCAAAATATACTCAGCCCCCATGGTGATAAATTACTTCTGTATGTGTTATGTTTCATTGTTGCTGCCGAAAAATGAATTTCCTTCGGGATCAGTAAAGTATTTTTCTATCTATTTATCTATGGGATTACAGTTTTATCTCATTTTGAACACTCTGATTATGTTTAGTCGAGACTGGATGTCCTTTGAAAACAGGACAAGCTATGTGGGTGCCTTGGCCATTCTAGGGAAGATTAGTGCCCGCTCAAGCCCCCCCCAGCGCCGCCCCTGATTCACACATGATCTAGATACACTTTAAATCTGAAAATCTGGAATGTGGATCAGCTCAGGTTCACTTATTGGCTGGTTTTGGTCTAAAGTACAGTTTCTTGGTGAGCATCGACGCAAAACAAGGCACCTGCTTCTTCCCAATGGCGCTGCGATCGTTACAGGTGTCCACGCTCCTCATGGACACCTTCCTGTTGACCAGCGTGAGCAGCTCTGTGAACTCCAGAGAGTCTCCGTACTTTTCAAGCAGCTCGCAAAAATCTTGAATATACCAGGAGCCATGGATCGTCTCTCGATGGGAATAGTAACCTTTAGAAATGTGCAAAAGAGCGTTTTAGAAGGTTTTCATGTCTCAGTTGGTAGTTTTCAGAATGTCATGCTCAAAAATGGGGGGCAAGAGCCAGATTTCCCTATTGATTACATTGTACTTTGCCATGAAATATCACAAATGTTGAACCTGGTATTTCCAATTATTGACTAAACCCAAGAACTCACTGTATTACAACATAATTTTGCATTTTAACAATATTAATTGTTAAAAATTGCCCCCCATCTGTATTAATTCATATTTTCCTATAGAACGATGTCCTCTGAAACCCAACAATAGGCTCTGTGCACAATAGCACCCTGGTGACACTACTTCCTGTCCAATTTTATCTCTAAGGTTTTTGCAGAGTCATAAAAACTTAACAATACGCAGTCAACAGGAAGCTGCAGGTGCATGTCACTGAGAACATGTTAAAAAAGTGCACGAATAAAATGAATACTTCAGCAGAATTGTTTAGAATGTACTGAGACACAAACATCCCTCTAACACTAATGCTACTTTTGAGGCATAAGTATTAAAATAATGCCACATATTGAAGTAATAGTCTTCATTTTAATTAATTTGAATTGGAATAGGTTGTTTATTTTGTATATTTTATGCACAGAGAGCTATCATGCTGCTGTACGGTCTATAAAACATAAAATCTGTCTAACCTTCAGCGACTGAGTAACACATGATGAAGTCGGCTCCTGCAGGCAGCGTGTGGACAGCACTGGCATCGACCACCACCTCATTGGTTTTCATCATATTGTCCACATCATCACTCGGTTTCACTGGGTTATCATGTTTATCTCCACGACACGCCTGCACCAACACCAGAATAATGCACGTTGAACAAAATCAAATCAGTAATTTGTGAGTAAATGTTTTTTTTTTTTTTTGTTACCTACCTGTAACATGATGATTTTTGGTTTTCCTGCCAAACTCTGGCACTTGTCGCCTTTGAACATGGCAGTGATGTCCTGAATGCTGATCTTTCCATCATATGCATAAATATGATCTTGTTCACCGTGGCTGAGAAAGACGAGCATAAAGCAGTCTGCATCTGCGTGGTTGGCCTGTGCAGCTGTTGGAATCAGTGTTAAAGAGTTCTTAAAAACGACTCTAAATAAAGTAAAGATTCAGTATTGTTCAGAACAGGTGAGTTTACCTTCACATAGTATATCCAAGATCTCCATTTGTTTGTAATTTTCATAAGTCTTGACTTCAAAATTCAAGGCTGAAAGTCTAATAAGTAACAGAAACATCAGATAAAAATGTACTAGGCCTCCAACCTCAAACATATGCTGTTATAAAAATATGTTTTAAAATAAATACCTTTTTTCTAAATTATAACGGTCAGAATTAGTTCCATATCTTACAGGCATTCCAAGGCGCCAGTAAAAGTGTTCTTGGTTAAAAATAATTGCAAGTCCTCGTCTTTTACGGTTCATTTTATACTCCTCGCCCGGATCCAGAGCTAAAGTCTTGCTGAATACAAGAATTTCACAGTGGTGACACACATAGGACTATTCAAACTCACCTATCACATTTATTATGATGAATTAACAATTTTACCTCCAAGCAGAATCAGTCTCTGTCACATGCTTTGTGCCTGCTTAAAAACACATTAATGTGAATTTAAGTTTTACTTTTAATGATTATTCCTTAAATATTCACAGATTACATTATTGATACAGTTGGTTTAAAACAGAACTATACAGAACACTACAGAATGGGCTATCAGGGCTTTTTGTTGCTCTTGTGCTGCTTCTGCTTTTTGTTAATCAGCAGTACAACTATGGTGGTTTGGGGTCAAGCAGCCTTTGTCTCAACAGCTTAGAGTCCTCATGGCGTTCAATGGGCGGCTGACAGCTGGAGAAAGATGGCAAAAGAAAAGCAATACTAAGAGTTACACCTGCTTGCCCCACCCACCTGAAAATGTGGGTCAGATGGCGTAAAAAGTCCAGAGTCATGCTCTGTCGAAAGATGTGCCAAGAATAGTTTGACCAACAGATTTTAGCAATCAAGAAAGTTGATTTTGAGGTGTATATTGTTTATAACATATATACAGATATTTATAACATGTTTAAACACTCTGTGGTACATTAGCCTTAGTGTAGCAGAGCTGTTGTCTGTGTCTTGTGGTTACCCAGGTGTAAACAATAAACCTTTTGCGTTACAGGAGTCAGACCTGTCCTATCAGGTTTGTCACACAGTAGTAGCCAGAAGCAGAGTACTGAGAAAACTACCAGTTTCTTTTTGTTGTGTTTGGAAACCTCATACCCAGTCTATAAGCCCTTACAAGGATGGATTTTGGGTCATCTATGTGCTGGAGTAAAGACTCTTACCAGCACTGTCCGTAGTAGTCAAACTGTCCATGGCTACACCCCCTGAAAACAAAGAATCACTTTATTACACATTTTTACGCCTTTGTTTACATGAATAGCACGTCGAAGGTGTAAATCGTGGCAGGTTTAGAGTTTAATTGTGCGCTATGGCTACATCCTACAAAAGCATCTTCTCAAAATCTCACAGATGCGCGGGGAATAGACTTTAAAGAGTAAAAAACCTGCACTTACCCGGAATGTCTTCTCCTGTCACTGCGGACACCGCCACAAAAACTTTTACTCCGAGTGACTGAGGCAAAGTGCTGCGTCAAACCACACGCACACGTAAGACCCGCCCCTCAACGCGATTGGCTGCGTGGCTTCGTTGTAACACGTGATTGGATTAGACACACGTCAATCAAGAAAACTGCAATAACACTTCCGTATTCACCTACAATCATTAATCGGCATTTTAACTTTTAAATAATTACTGAAGCGAGATAAGAAAAGTGAAACTAAACTACTGAAGTACAACTCTAACTGTAACCCAACCTATGTTTTATAATGTCTGTGTAAATGTGTTAATAATCCACCTTAAAAATATAGTTTCTTACACATCAGGGGGTATTATATTAGTTTACTTTTTATTAAATCCTTCATATACACAAACAAAAAACAATAATTTACAGTCAAAAGAAATGCTGTGTTTTTTATAGTAAAATAATGTGTCTAAAAATAACATAAGTTTTGGGGAAGTTCACTCAGAGTTTTCCAGTTGTTGCGAAATCCACTGTTATAATAAAACAATAATAGTGGCAACTTTCCAGCAGGTGGCAGTGAAAGCAGCAGCAGCAGCGGTTTATGATTCACAGTTCCTTCTTCACTTCATATTCACAGACGCAGGACTCTCGTTGACTGTCCAGGTACGGTTTACAGCCCAGGTGCATGACGGCATCAAAGAGCAAAGTCACGGTTGACTCACACGCTGCAGAGAAAGAGGGAAGTTAAAACATTTCCAGAGAATAGGAAACTTTACTCTTTACTCCCACAGCACAACAACCTTTGGAATACTGGTTTAAAACAGTCTGAGGACATTTGGGGACATTTTTACTGATAATAAAATTGTGAATATAAAAGATTTTAACAATTAAAATATTTCAATCAACGTTCAACCTGAAGCAGTATTTTATTTTAGATTCATTTTCCTATTTAAGTAATTCAAATCCAAATTTCGGTTTTCTGATTTATTTTCTCTTGTTTTGTTATTTATAAGCATCAAGGCGGTACTAAGGGCAATGTTTTTTAATAGCTCCATGTAGTAGGCTCATGAGTAGGCTATATAGAAGAAATAAATCCATGCTCACTCACTCCCTCTTGTGGAAACAGTATAATATTACAACAACATTGGGGTTCCATACATTGCTATAAATAAATGCTCGTAGAAGACAAACTGTTTAAGTATTTTTTAGAAAACATACCTTGATTGTGCATTATTTTACAGCACAATCCTCACCTTGAACGCTCTGGGTCAGTCCAAAAGTTCTTTGCACATTTTTGCAGATGGTCTCCAGACAGTCCTGGAACTGCTCGTCACAGTCTCTCTTCTCACGTCCACAGGTGTCGTAGCAGCGGTCGTGCTGGTTACAGCATTTAGTCATGGAGGGAATGCCTATGTCAAACTAGAGGGAGACAGTCAGGACAGACGTTAACAGGTGAAACGTCACAGTTTTTTATCAACCATGAAGTGCAACACACTTTTAATATAATAAAACACAACGGACTCCAGGCACAGCCAACATGTTTTGACCAACCTGATCTCAACCAGGCTGGTCGAAACATGTTGGCTTTGGCCATTTAAATAAAGGCCTTTTAACTATAGTTTTTCCTTGTGCGATTTTTACTTGTTTGGAGTGCTTGGAGTCCGTTGTGTTTTAGTTTTGATCCTCTTTCCAAGAGCACCCTCTACCTGCTCCCACTGACTGGAACACTTGCAGCAAACAGCCACATTTTTGTTCTTTCTGTAATTTTAATACAATGTTGTGCAAAACAAACTACACTCTTCAACACTTTTGAATCATGGTAGACTTGTTGAAAAGATGCCGAGATACACAATCCAGTAAAACATGAAAAGACGCCCAGTAGAAAAAAGATACCTGAAGAATGCAGGTGGACATTTCCTTGTATCTGCCTACAGGGAGGAGCTAACTACATTGAAACTACTCTGGAACTAACACCCCACTAGTTTACAGTTTAATTTTGTTAGCTAGGTCTATTCATCTGTACTGAGTATGTGGAAGTGTCCTCCTGCATTCTGACCAGAACTGAAGAAGCAGCTTGGATGAGCTGTGAATCATTTTCAACTTAAATAAACCTTTGTCCAGTTGACAAATTTAATTTCTCCTTTGCCGTGGATTCTACCTGGACGTCTGAGGGATTCTACACATGCCTAGAGTCCTAAAGTGGATTTTACAATAGTGGTTCTTTGAGTGCTTTTTTCTCCAAAATGTAAAATTAGTGCATTACACATTATACCCCCCAGTGCCACTGACAGAGTTCACCTACCTGAAACCCAAACAGTGGAGACCCACATCCATTGGGGGGTGGCTGCTTGTATCCAGGGCGAGGTGCTGGCTTGTACCCTGTGAGAGAGGGGCAAAGGTGGTGAAGTCTTTATTCTCTCAACTTGTCTTGTATCTCTTATCTTGTACTCACAGATAACAGCAGCCAACAGAACACATAATTACACTGAAATCTGTGACTCTTCGGGTTTATTTGAATGGGTTTGTTTTTCACACATTTAAAAAAAGGCCCATATTGTTTCTCATAAAAAAAATACCTGGAGTTGTGTTTTGTTTCATTCACAAATATTTTAACACACAAATCCTGTATAGGCTGAGTTCTTCTCTCAAACAAAAAACACTCAAACCCCGTACACCTTCATTAACCTGATTACCACTTCATGACATCATAATTTGGTACACAGCATTTTGAGCTTTGGGGACGTACTAGAGACTAATAATATCAAAGTATTACTCAGACATGTGTTGAATGAAACAAAACACAACTCCAGGTATGTTTTAGAATTAAAATAAAAGTAAAATAAGAGTAAATAATATTGTATAATTAATCTTGGACCGGTCTCCTCACCATCGCTGCAACTGAAGTGACACAATCCGTCATCGCCCCCAAACAAATCCAGGGCTGCGTTCAGGACAGAGTCAATCTTGTGAATACCATTGCGAATAGTTTTTAGAGTCAATCGCCAGTCCGGAGTCACTGGTTCTTGTTGGAAGGCGGAGACATACCGCTGAAATCCAATGCAATACAAACTCACCACGAAAACACAGATCGAACGTTGATAGCGCATCGTCCAGAAATCGAAATGAAAACTGCGATTCAAAGGGGAAAATAAATAAAAAATCCCCTAAAACGCATCTGAATCCATGTCCACTTTGATTTCATGTATTTCTCACGAGTTGTCTCCGCGGACAGTCATTTAAGAAGTGTTAGGTTGCTCTTCGCGCATGTAGCTGTAATAAGAACACCGTGGAGCTGTCTGTAGTCCACTTCCTGTTTAACTGTGTCACGTGGTCATGAACATCGACCAATCAATTTTCTTAGTTGTCTAACGCAGCTTTGCATCATGTATTTATTATTATACTGTACGTCTAACTGCTATTAACCCTCTCCAGGCAGGCGTTGCAGATTAGCAACATCTAAATGCCAATTACCTACTTACTCCAAATCCATTTTTTATGAGCTTTTTTTTTTTTTTTTAATTCAGGAGCCTTTTTTCCCATCCATGCTGATAAATGTGGATGATGCAGACTGTGTAAGAATGGCTACACACAAACGGCCTGCCAGAAGTGCAAAGTACTTTTGTTGTTTACAAAGGATAAAAATTGTTTCTTGGAGCATCACACGAAAAAGTGATGTTGTTTTGCCACTGTAAAGCTGTTACACTGTGTTTTATGTTTTCATTGTTACGAAAAGTGGTATATAAATAAAGTTTGCGTTCATATAATTTTCAGTCTTCAGTGTTAATTTACCACACCGGACCAATGCTGCAAATCTGCAACATCCCAGAACGCATTGGATGTGAAGGTCCCTCTCAAAAAAAGTCAGGATTGTATATTACTACCCCATATGATCATTTTCCCCAAATATCAGATTTTTTCCTGTTACTAAAATTTTATTTGAGCCTGAGAGGGTTAAACCATTAGAAATACAGTATATGCATTTTGGGCTCATATTAGACTACTTTCTGCTTTATAATGTTCTTTCCTCATCAAAAACATACCTAGAGTTGTGTTTTGTTTCATTATTTGACACACAGACCTGCATATTTAGGCAGTTTTTCTCTCAAAGTGAAAACACTGTTCCACCCTGTGATGTCATGTGGTGATACAGGAAGTGCTCCAATTTGTTTTGTTTAGAAAGTTGCCAGTTAGTGGAATCAGTTTGCTGTTAAACTGTTTATTCTTGTTTCTTTGATTTATAAATCATTTTCATATTTTATATTGTACTTGTATACGTCCTCGTTTATTTTCTTAATTTCAATAATATGGTATGTTTTTGTGTTTCATGTTGCTTGTATGTTTCATGTGAAGTTAACCTTGTGAAAAGTTGGAAATAACCTGATGTTTACGTCAAAGTCGTGTAACCACAAGATGACATACCCTCTTGGTCAACCTGTAGTCCAGACAAACCATGCAATTTGAAAACATACTGAGTACAGAGTCTGCAGACAGTTCTGCATCTAACCACTGTTGAAGGCTGTGGTTTCAGTCGAAAGCTCAGATGTATAATGTCTTAATTAGCATACAGTATGTCTGTCCTATGGAGGAAAGCAGAGAGATCTCCTGATCACCACATCAGAGACGTGAGGAGAGTTGGCTCTCATGTTTCTTTGATGGCCTTAAATATAACTCAGTAGCTTAACTTTCTTAGTGTAGAAATGACAGAAACTCACAATTTTCAAGAGTTTGCTTTCTAACTATAAACTGTAAACCTTTTTCTTTGAACACAATAAATCTAAAACAGGTTTCAGGGTCCTCTGTCCTGCCTCTCATTATTGGGACATTCAATGATCCCAGATTAGGGAGGTGCCTTTAATGTGCTCATCTCACTGGGACTAGTGTCTCTGAACCTGGCGTTGATAAGTCACTGGTAACTCCTGAGGGAAACTTCGTAACTCACCACCATTTCCACTTCACAGAAAGGTGTGATGAGTTAAAAAGTTTTCCTAAAGAGTTACCATGGACTTATCAAGGCCAGAACCTCCTGGAGGAGAGAGACTGGACCATCTGGGTAAATCCTCTGGCATCCACACATCAATCAAACAAAACAAAACTGCATGTTTTGATGAAAAAACAACATTATAACACAGATCAGAAAATAGCCTAAAAAGTGCGCTTTAAACAAATGAGAGACAAAAAAATTTTAATAGTAATCTTCACTTTATTTAAATGATTATTCAAGCATTAAATAAAATGTTTGTCTATAGTTGTTATTTAAATACATTTTCAAAAACATTCAGAAATGTACAATAATTTATCCGATCCAGTTATACACATTTTGGAGGAAATATAAAATGATTTCTATGTAAAATTGTGTCTTCATTGGACTTGAGGAAGCCAAAAAGCATTCAAGTCTTTCCTTGTCCTTCAGTGCAGCTAAACAAAAACATATATAAGCCTATGTACACAGAGGGCAGAGCCTGGAGAACTCATAAAACAATCCACTTTAAGGGATATATCTGTTTTATTTACGGCTTGCTTATGCTTTCTCAAGATGGAGCGGAAAACTGCAAACCTGTCAGTAATTCACAATCTTTTAGTTTCCCGCCATCAGAAAGCACAATCTAAAATTATTCATAAAAACAAAACAAAACAAAAAACAAAAAACAAAAAAAAAGAAACAGTATTGATACTTTGCAGTGACATCATGCTGGGGGTGTTCTACACGCTCCACCATGAGAGATGCATGTAGCAGTTACCATGGTGACACAATGCACACGCACACACGACTGAAAACTCAAGAAAATAAACACAAAATAGATTTAACTAACACATTTTCAGGAGCCGGTGATAAATTCGAGCACTCATGGTCCTGTTTAGGTGTTTGATTTTCAACAAAAAGGTGAAAGTGACAAACTAAACTTGTTTATAGACTTGTTTAAAGATGCACTGTGTAACTTTTATGGTGGTGTGTCTGTCAAATGTGCCTGAAATGTTCCACAGTATGACATTAAACACACATTTATTCAATTACAGGTGGTTTTACAGCTCAAAAATACATAGAAAAACAGTTATTCTTATTGTGAGCGGGGTCACTCTCCACAGATCTGACCTGTAACTTGGTCTAGTTTGGTCTCCATGAAGATAGAACAGTTTAATGCCACACTGTGAAACATTTCAGATACAGCAATAACATCTTGACAGAGAAAAGAAAAGCATCTCACCTGTTGTAGTTCCAACCAAGTCACCTCTTTCTCATCACATTGTCTTAAATTAAAGCTCAGATTAAGTCGAGCAACAGAGTTTCAGACAGAGCAGTGCTTCACGTTAGCATCACACCCCCAGAGAAAGTTAATGACACCAGCTGCAAAGTATCAATAAGACAAATCGACTACAATCCGAAGTGGTTTGAGTGAGCTCTGATTACGCCAGTCTTGATGGAAGTTAATGCTAATAACAGAAAAAAGTATAAAAAATACGCAACCAGAGCTACATAAGTGATTTATGTATTTGCTTCTAGTATTAAGACTTTCTTGAAATAAAAATAAACATCTATTCACATACACTTACATTATTCATTACAGTCCAGCTCATCCGCCCCTAAAAATATTATTTAGTCTCTCCAGCTCCTTACAGTTATCCATGGTCATGAGTTCTGCTTTCTTGCGCATGCGGTCGTCCCTGTAGACCTTAGCAGCGTACAGCAGGTCTGTTTCTGAAAAATAAAGATAATAACAGTTTAGAAATGTTACAGATGCATTTCAAGGTTAAAGTGCATATGACAGGTTTTGTATTTACTATACATTTTATTTTTACTTGTACATATACATTTATAATTATGCCTTATGTGCACTAGTCTCTCGCTATTTTTGCTACTTATTTAGAATTTATTATAACCATTTATATTTTTTTGTACCTTGTTATTATATTATATTGTGATGTATGAGCTACTGCGTCCAAATAATTTCTCTTGTGGATCAATAAAGTCCAAGTCTTTTGATGATTCTCCAATTTTGACTTAATTTAGTGGGGTAATACCTGTTGTCAATATAAGTTATAGTCTTAGATCAAACAAGAAACTGTTTGTCAAGAAAAACTGGAAAATTACAGGAAGTAGAGAGCTCTGATTAAGAGAGCTCTATATTGAAGACATTACACTATAGGGAGACTTCTGTTCAAAATTCCTGCACAATTTACACAGAATAAAATTTCAACAAAATAAAAGGTGTTTTCTTATAAAAGGGAATAACGACTTTTAGCTATTAAGTATATTTTGAGTGCCTCAGCTTTTTCAGCTTTGTGCTTGAGACTGGTCCCTACACTGAAGTAGCCGGATTCATCAGCCGGTTTCACTTCATGGAAACTGTCTAACCACGCAGCATTAGAATTCGTTCACACGACGGTAGGAGGGTACTTTTTTATTAATCCAATCGCTGCTCGTGACGCATGTAATGCGCTGCTAACGGGGCTAACTGGTATATTAAGCTTTTCCCAAATCCGGTAGGAAGAAGAGCAATAACGTCTTTCTTCATGATAAAATTCACCAAACATTCTCTTTGTTCTGGCTTTAAATCCTTGATCTCAGGAATCGTTGCCAACACAGAATGTCTGGCTTTGTCTACATTCATCTAGACTGCTTTGTTTACTGTTGTGCTGTACCACAAAAAGGACCCAGTCATGGCTTCACAGCTCTTCACTGATTGGCCGGTGCGCGGTCTACAGCTTCCAGGGTTCTTGCAAACTGTCTAGTGTATTCTGATTTCTGACCGCTGAGTTGCTGGAGAGAAATGAAATTAAGCGGAGGAACTAGGTGGAGCCAACCTGGCTTACACTGAAGAGCACCAAAAGGACAATTTTGCACAATCTCTACATCCAATCTCTATGTCCAAGTAGCACTCCAGGCTCCTTGCTGTGTTTTCTTATACTTTTATTTGTCAAATAATAATTTCTGCGTACACAAGAGGAGTTTTGGTCTAGTATACCACACGGTTGCTAGGTAACAGTTACCGACTTCCCTAGCGGGATGTGATGATTTACAACCAGAAATTAAAATGTTTAACCTAAAAATTGGCCAAACTGGAAAAAAAAAATTAAAATCTTAAATATTATGAACTTAATTGTGTTGTTGTAAAATGAGTAGCTGAACCGGTCATAGGCACTTTAACTCTGCTGTGAAGTAAAGAAGAAAACATACTCGTTTGGCGCTCCTTCCAGCAGTTATTCCTGACATTAGATACGTAGTCTTCTTCTACACTCTTCTCTATCTGCTGCAGCGCCGAGCCCTTGAACTCAGACTTGAAATCTTTAGTGACGTAATAGTCGACATGTAGGTTTTCTGTTTGGCGTTTTACGGTCTGACCTGTGGACCTGAGAATGAAAAGATGCAAACGTGTGTGGTTAGAAAAATGTACAACGTTTGAAGATAATAACAGCATTTAAAGGTGCCCTATGTAACTTCTCTAGTGGGGCGAACCATCACCTGCTTTTCCTTATGAAGATGTAATTGCTTCTTCTACAGTACGGCATTAAAATTGCTCATCATCCTTTTGTTCAGTCCATAGATTTTATATATAAACAGACATCATTAACCTTCTAGCTGGCACACTTCAAATAAGAAGGCCCATCAACTCTTGTTCCAATTCACTTTTTACTGAAAAAACACATTAACTGCTGCTGTCAAGCGTGTCATTTCGGTCTTAAAATGTTCGTATTAACCTGCTGTAAGTGAACCTCATGATTGATTTTACTTTTTATCTTGTCTCCAACAACATATCGATAGGCTATGTTTTATACAGAGGTAGGACAATAACGCATTAATTACAATTAATTACCAAACAACGCAGAATGTTTGTCCGTGCACCATGTCGTGGTACGCTAATTATACTGATGCACACAGTTCTGAACAATGGAGCATGAAAGCGCTCTGGGTCTGCTGGACGGTAAATTTCTATTCAAAAAAACGACCCGATGGAAGCATTGACAAAGGCGTTAAGTGCAAACTGTGCAGAAAAGAGTTTGCATATCACAAAAGCACCTCAACCCTATGACACCATTTTAAATGCAAAACACATGACAGCGAGCACAGAAACACAACGTTCAGAAGGTAACAATTTAAAGTAAAATGGCATGTTAACTTTAGTCTCTTCAATTTTGAACAGGGACTTTGTTAACTATTTTGAAATGAAATGCAATTTTTTTTACTATATTTTTCGGACTAACAACTGAAATCATCCTGTCGGGATTCAGAAAGGCCAAAATAATTCTAACTGGAATTGAAGCCGAGTCTGACGACAAAGAGGATGAAGAATTCAATGGATTTAGTGATTTGGAGTGAGATGGAGAGTTTGGCAAACTTGTTCTGTTCTGTTGTTTATGCTATATTTATCTGAAGAACTGTTCATATGTGACGTTAACAGTCTGTCGTTCTCTTCTTGTCTTTCAAGATGAAATGTTGGTTCCTGGTCTCTGATTTTATATAATAAATTTCCCCCAAAAAGTGCGACTTATATATGTTTTTTTCTACTTCATTGCACATTTTTTGGCTGGTGTGACTTATACTCAGGAGAGACTTATAGTCCGGAAAATACGGTACATAAAATACATGTTGCTTTTAGGGCAAATAAATATTGTTATGCGATTAACTGAGATTAATTCATGACAAAGCCTGTAATTAATTTGATTTTTTTTTCTTTTTAATCAAGTCCCATCCCCTAGTTTTACACCATACTGTAGTAGAACATTCAAGGTGAAGTAATAAGTACTCCAACTCCATGGAGAGAAGCAGGTAGTGAACTCTCCAAAAAAGTTACACAAAACACCTTTAAGTTGCAGTAGAGGGTTATCAGATATAAATGTGTACTTACGGTCTAGAGTAGAGACTGTACGGTGGAGGAGAAACCATCATCTGACTAAGAACTGACACTAAAATTAAGACTAGGATTGGCATGATCTGAATGAACATCGAGAAACCACCCTAGGCAACAAAAAACAAGGCACAAATGAAGCCTGCACAACAAAAATGTATGTAAATGTGAAATCACGAGTCCAGTTACTTACATCTCCTCTGTCGTTTGTTCTTTCCTGTCCGTCTGTGTGGTGACTGTAACTAGATCTGCCATTGCTGAAAGTGTGTGGACTCGCTGTGGACAGAAAAATCAGTGTTACATTTTACAGCAGTAGTGACAAATGAGAAGGCCTGTCAGGATAACTGCTATATCGACTTATGAAAGCTGCAACATTATATTTTGGGGCTAAATATTTGTTGTGTGCTCAGTTTATTTGCAATAGTGGGGAGATTTTTGCATTTTTTATTTAAGAGGTTACAGCTGGGTATCATTCAGAAGTTGCTGATACAATACATACCTCGATATGTAGGCCGCAATATGAGACATATCTCGATACAGTGAGCTTACGATTTGATACGATACAGTACGATTCAATACGGTTCAATAAAAATCAATGGCTAAATCAAGGCCATGATAGTAAAAGCCTTTGTTAAACCACTTCTTGTGCAAAGTTAATATGAAACGCAAACATTTTAAATCATCAAAACACTAAACAAGTTTCCCTAAAACAAACAACAAAACTGTAGCGCTGTAACAAAATAATTTAGTAAAATTTACCAAAAAATACTCCTCGTGATATATCGATACAGCAGCCCATTATACTGATACTGTATCATCACATTAAACAATATGATATATCGATATTTCAATATTTTTGCACACCCGTATAGGAGATGACAGATTTTAGCTGTAGAGGGTAGAATAGGTAACTTCTATGGCTAATTATTGGTTCAGTCTGCCATTTAATTGTTGCAGCTCTTGCCTTTTAATGATACGGTATATTTAAAAATCTGTTTACTAGGATTATGCCGCTTTGTGTCTGTCATAAACATACAACTGTGTATATATAAATGGACACAGCTAAACCCCAACTCTGACTCCAATAGGCTCTATTCACGCCTACGTCACAAACCAGGACGATGTTTGGAAACACGCAATGACAACTTCCGGTGTAGTTACCGAAACTGGGCTCACCGACCGACTGTGATAAAACCCACTGAAGTAAACATGATCAGCGGTAAATTGAAGACCGCCTCATCTCTTCTAATTGCATGTACCCAGAGAGCTCGGAGTCGTGCGTCAGTGGGAAAATTCTGAAAACTGAGGTATGGTTGTAATTGTTGATTTGCAAACATAATGGAACGCAACAATGACATGTAGATGAATAAAACTGGGCCATTTTCTAATTTTTCCTAGATTTTGTCAGACTTACTACCGCAAACAGAGCCCGCTGGAAGTTGTCGTCGCATGTTTCCAAACATTTTCTTGGTGTGACGCTTCCGTTTCTGTAACTGCTTCAGTGAACCTTGTTATTTTGGTCTTAAAATGTTTGTATTAACCTGCTTTACATGATCCCGGTGTTTTTATTTCTCTATTTTGTCAGTAAATAAATTCTTATTCCTAATATGGGACTCGGCTCCAATTTCGAACTCTATGGGTGACGTCACACTCCCTTAGTCTTCTTCTTTCTCAGACTCGCGGCCCAGGGGCCAACTGCACCCCTCAGAAGGATTTTTTGCGGCCCTCCACTTAATTCCAAAGAATAATGTCAGTGCAGCCCGCGGTAGATGTACGCACAATCCCACCCCCCTACTGCGGGTCGCACTGACAGATGAAGCTGCAATCGGTGCCCACGCAGATTCACAACAACAGATTATTAACGCAGCTTACATCCCAAAACTCAACTTACAGCAGTTGTGAAGCAACGAGTCTAAGTGGATCTGTTAATACAAGTACACGTGCACATACGGCATTTTTTTTTTCGTGCAACCGCTATTTATCAAATACTCAATGCGGCCCAGCCTCACTCAGACTTTATCTAATGTGGCCCCCAGATAATTTGAGTTTGAGACTCCTGGTCTAAGGGCATAAATTAGTTTCAATATTATCGTTTATCGCAATATTTCTCTGTAGCAACACATTGTGCTTCAAAATGTGTTATCATGACAGGCCTACGAGTGAGCATGAATGTTTTTTGTTTAAGACTTGGTTACTAACATGAAGGGAAACCGCCTCCAAAGAACATATTGAAAAGGTCTTCTGGGGTGATATCGGCCTCGAAGCCTCTGTGGAAATCAAACCCTCCTCCGTTTGCGTGACCGGCGCTGCTCGGCTCCTCCCCTCCGAACACGTCGTACTGTCTGCGTTTGTCTGCGTTACTGAGTACTGCATATGCGTTTCCGATCTCTGTAGAAGCAATGTTGAAGGACAATCATGTTTAGGCAAAAGTTATTTAAAAAGTAGCCATGTTATTATGTTGTTATCTCATCAAAAACATATGTGAGGTTCTGTTTTGTTTCATTCATACATGTTTGACACTTTATAACACTTTATTATTAGTCTGTCTACATCTCCAAAGCTCAAAATGCTCTGTTACACCTTGTGATGTCATGAAGCAAAAGTTTTCAAGTTAACAGCTCCTTTTACCTTTTGTTCAGGAGAGTTTGGCAAGTCCAGAACTGAAATTATGCAAATTATTCTAGTGAGGGTGTATGGAGTTTAAGAACAGAAAGGAGCACTTTCTCTTAGGGCTGGGTATCATTAAGAAGTTGCCGATACGATGCATACCTCGATACATAGGCCACGATACGATACATATCTTGATACAGTGCACATTTGATTCGATTCGATATATTTCAAATCGATTCAATACGGTTCAATAAAAAAATAAAGGCTAAATTGTGGCTGTGGTAAGTCTTTGTTAAACCACTTCTTGTGCAAAGTGAATATGAAACGCACTCATTTTAATCATCAAAACAGTGAAAATGTCAAATGGGTCACATAAACGAGTTTCTTTCTTCTAAACAAGCAACAAAACTGTAGCTCTGTAACTAAATAATTTTGTAAAATATACCAAAAAATACTCTTGGTGACATATCAATGCAGCAGCCCATGATATCGATACTGTATCATCACATTAAACAATCTGATACATCAATACATCAATATATCTGCACACCCCTACTTTCTGTATTACCGCATGACATCACAAGGTGGCGCAGAGTGTTTTCAGTCTGAGAGAAAAACTCAGCCTAGTCAGCTCTAGAGTGTGTGTGATTTCTCATTGTGTACACTGTGTAATGGTTGTTAGTGTCTGTTTGTCTTCTCACTGCCTTTTAATTGAACCGTTATGCACAATTGCACTTTCTGTTGTGTTTTTAGGATGACTATGTTTACCATCTGTCCAGGGACTACAGATGGAAAAAAATACCCTCCTTGGCTAATTCTGGTACATTCACAGAATTTTTTATTAATGTACACTGTTCCTGTTAAATAACCCAAATAAATAAATAAATAAAGCCTAAATATGCAGGATTTGTGTGTTAAACATGTGTGGAAAAAAACAAAACACAACTCGAGGAATTTTTGTGAAGAGGAAACAACATTATAACAAATAAAACAGTGCAATATGGGCCCTTTACAATAAAATAATAAATCACATTAAAAGAAACTGTACTTTTAAAGGCGTCAGTGGCTCCTGGGGCGTGATTTTTGTCTGGATGAAACTTCAGAGCGAGTTTTCTGTAAGCTCTCTTTAACTCGTCTTCACTGGCATCTTTGCTGACACCGAGGACGTCATAAAAATCCTTACACCGTTTTATCCTGAAAGAGAAATAAATGTAATTAAATGGTTGTATTGTTTCACTCTTAAAACGATTTGTACCACTGAACGACATTATATCTGCCACCTGCTTGTCTTCATGGAGATGTTATTGCTTTGTCTAGAATGTTCCAGGGTAGAGATTAAACCTGTCTATCTCATCTACATTACAGGTCAGATCTGTGGAGAGGAAACACGAGACGATGTGTTTAGAATATTCCAGGCAAAGCAATGACACATCTCCTGGAGACAAACAGTTGACAGAACTGCCACTAGAAAAATTACACAGTGAGGCTTTAAACACTTGTTATAGACGTTTTACCAAGACTTTTATGATGCAATTTTCTTCTTAAGCAGTGAAAACACCAAGGGGAAAACGTGTTTATGTCTAATTACAACCAGACAATACACCTGACAGTAGAATAATCCCAATGGGAGTTTAAAGCTCTTCTTATATCACGAGTAGCTGCTTTATAGAAAATGCACTGTCAGCGTATGTTTTTAGCACCGAGAAAGAAAATCTAAAATGGCAAACAAAAGGGTACCATGGGTTTTAGATAGATATAGATGCATACTTGATTGATCCTGAAGGAAATTCAATTTTCAGCAGCAGCAACAATGAAACCAATGAATACAGCAACAGTGAATACAGCCGTCCATCCTCTTCCATTAATCATTTATAACACTGTTTTCCTTATGACCTCTTGTATATATAGCTGAGATTTTTTATTATTTTCCCATTTTATTTTGATTTGTACATATAATTATGCCTGATTGACACCAGTCTCTCGCTATCCTTTTTGCTACTGATTAGAATTGATTATTACCATTTATATTTTTACTCTTTATTATACTATATGGTGATGTGTGAGCTACTGTGTCCAAATAATTTCCTTTGTGGATCAATAAAGTTTGTCTGTGTCTAAGTTCCTATTGGCAGAAAACTCTTTATTGTAAAACACAGATGCAAAGAAGTCAGCCAATAGATACTAATTAATTACGTTAAGTGCAATGATGTGAGAATTGATAAACTTCTAAATGTTCCAGTGAGGAGGTGGTTCTCTTATTTCTGACTAGGGATGTCATGATATCAGATTTTGTGTTATGATTATTGTGAGGAAAAACCACCACAATTTAACTATTATTCATGATTATTGACCCCATGAACAAACAGTGAAATCCTTCATTTTCTTTCATTTCCATTATTTAACATGTTCCGGTATGTTACCTGGTTTATGAAATGAAAACTTTCTGAACGATAAAGCAAAGTTGAGGAGACATAAATGAATGGAATTTACTGTTATTTTCCAGGCTATTAGGCGCTCTGGATTAAAAGAGGCACTGTCATTAAATGATCTATTTTCGAACTTTTTTCACAAATAAACCAGTCAGTCGGACTTTGTTTGGCGCGTTCATGGTGTCTCTGGGCTTTGTTCAGTTGTGGCGTGTAGGGAGGGTGCTGTCTGGGACCGCTGGATTGTTGGCGTGTTCGCACTGACTCAGTTGTTCAGTTGTGTCTAGAAGTGGCACATAGGACTCGCTTTTTTGGTTTGTTCCTCCGTTCCGTTCCTCGTCGGCGTGGAGTGATGAGTGTGTCTGTGGGTGTTTTTCGCTGCGCGGTCGCTGTCTGCTCCGTGTGTTTTGCGTGTTCTGTGGGTGGTGCGGCTTTGTAGTTTACTGAAGTCGTGCTGGGACACCCGAGTGGATTCGTGTATAGGGCGCTCTGGATTGCAGGGCGCGCGGTCGTTTTTTGATGAGGATGGAGGCTTAAGAGCGCGCCTAATAGCCCGGAAAATACGGTACTTAACTACTTTAGTTCACTTCTAAAACTGTCACTATTATATTTGTTTTATCTCTTGCGATTAGATTGTGACCTAAATAATCCTGATCATTAATTAACCTAATAATCTGGACAAAAACCATAATGATCAAAGCAGCCACACAGGGGCAAAAGATCAATAGTGGGAAGACCAGGAAACAGCAGATCCAATAAGGAATACAAAGGTAATGTATTCAACCGCCACAGCCTGTAGTCTGGTCAAATAAGATTTAAATTAAACTCTTTATCAGCGGGTCACAGGGCCCTTATCACCAAAAAGCACACCAGAATTTATAAGTGTCTCGCAAGTCAATACGATTACAATTCTGAGTCTCACAAGCTGATGCGGGAATGATAGTTTTTGTGTGACAGGGATTAGTTTAACAAGAGGAAATAACATTGTGGTTATAACAGCACATCTACAACAGAGTTACTGTTAACAGCGCTTCATGCATCTGTTTAGCCTCTCTGCATCTGTCAGTGTGTAACAAAGGAAGAGCTCTGAGGGCAGCAGCAGCAGAGGTCTGAACACTCATTTACAGTCGATGGCGCTGCTGCTGCTCTGAGTGACAGGTGGGAACAGGGAGGACTCAGAGTGAGAGACACTAGGAGAATAAACAGGCAGAGTGGGCGGCTTCAATTCAACTTTAAATTCCGATTATTGCAATTTCTGCATCAATTCAGAATCGTTTTATAAGAACGTATGCATCAACCCAATTATCTTTCTCACTCCTAATGCTTATTGTGAAGTTTGGCCGTGGATATTATGGGTGGGACTGTGCACAAACACACTATCGATTCTGTTGAACTCAGTGAAGGAAAGACGGAAGATCCAGCTGGAATGGCCCAAGCAATCATCAGACCTGAATCCAAGTTTCTCAAGTTTTTATGCAAAGCTTAAATTATTTTCTGCAAATGTGTCCTGTTTTCTTTCTTGCATGTGTGAATTACTAAAGCTGTTACTAATATTTGCAGAAAATGTCATGCCAATTGCACCACTGAAAATAATTTAGGAGAACAATGCTGATGGTTTCAACAGCATTTGAAGCACCTGCAGACGAATTGACGAAGCTCACCTTTGAACACCCTCCACCTGCTCCTGAGTGAAGCCCTTGGTCTCCTGCCCCCCCTGTTCATGGCCCTCTCCCTCTGGCTGAGCCCCAGCGCCGTGTGAATGGTCGGCTGGTCTCCTGCGATAAGCACCATTTCCTGCAGAGCTTCCATTTTTCGTCAATGCATCCAACAAATCTATGAAAGGAAACAATGAGAATGAAAACCCACAACAATAATATAATACTATAATTTCTGACAGACACTGACATTACAAACAACACAATAGAGTAAAGAGTAATGAAGAAAAGCCCAAAAGTGTGATGCAGAGTGGAGAAGGAAGAAATTAACCAGGAGGTAACTGGAAGTTTCAGATTTCCAAAAATGTGGATGTCAATAAATATGAAAATATAATACTAAATGTCAATACACTGCATGACAACAGATGTATTTGCTTTGTGCTTGAGCAAATAGGAGGTACTCAGGGTGAGACAAAGCTTAGTACACAACAAAAAAGCTTGGGATCCACTGGTGTAATGGCCAAATATTGTCTGAGATTGACAGTTTATCAAGTGAACCAACTCCAAATCAGTCAGTTTGTTTACAGTTCTATTAAACAGCTGCTCCCTCATAATCTCATCCCTACGTTTACTTTTAATAATGAGTTTCGTGTTTATCCAACTCACAGTGGACATCTCATTAGAGCTCCTTTTTCTCACACAGCCCAGTCTCAGTTTAAAGGGCCTACATCACACAAAATTGACTCTTGTGAGCTTTAAGCCATGTTACAATGTTGTTATTCATCAAAAACTTCACTGGCATTGTGTTTTGTTTGTTTCATAAGTTTGAATAATCCTTTATTATTAGTCGGTTTCCGCTCTAAAACTCAAAGCTGTCTTTTGTTTGAGAGGAGAACTCAGCCTAAATGTGTGTTAAACATGTCTGAATGAAACAAAACACAACTCCAGGTATGTTTGTGATGAGAAAACAACATTATAACATAGATCAGGCCCTAATGTTCTATACAGAGGATGTAAAATATGAAAAAACCTGCCCTCCTCCTTCATAGAGCTTTAAGTGTCAAGTTTAAAAACACTTTAAAATGCTTGCTTCTCAATAACAGCACTTTTTCATATGGCATTTCCAATTAATCTTGACGTGTATTGTATTTTATCTCTCATAAGCTACAAATATGAATCTCTACCAGGGGTGGGACAAGATCTTCTGAGACAAAAATCGACACAAGATCGTGCACACAAGAGAAAAATTATCTTGTGAGATTTGTTTCCCTTGTGTTTATGTTTAGATGGGACAAAGGGGTTACGTATTGGTGAATTACATCTCATATAATTCCAAAAAGCAGAATGGAATGGCAACAAAACAAACAAAAAATTGTGAGGACAAAATCTGAAACTGCAATTGCAAAACGTACATATTAGGAATTAAGCAAAATCTTGTCTTGTCTCGTTCTTGTAAACCCAGTCTTGAATCTTGTCTCATCTAATAGAAATGTATCCTCTGTGTTTTTTATTTACTGTACTTATTTATTGCAATTTTATGATTTTTATGGTTTTGCGTTTATTTGATTTTACTGCTTTTATTGTTTTAGGACTGGTACGACCAAATTTTAGCAATTTAACTTTTTGTCATCTTCATTTTGTGATGTCTGTGCAGCACTTTGGAAACTGCTTTGTTTGTAAACTGTGCTATGTAAACAAAGTGGATTTGGATTTGGGAATTGTGGATCTGGATTTGGATTTGGGAATTGTGTCTCGTCCCATCCCTAATCTCTACTGTCTGATTAGATCTTTAAGCATTTTATACGAATTTTACCACATTTTAAGCCCGCTGAGTGTTTTTGGCATCCATCCTTCACATTCTAGTGCAGAAAGTATCGTATTCTGTATTTTTTGTACCATGTGAAAATAAATAAAACTAAAACTACACTGCACATGAGCCTGAAATCTGGGAGCCCATTCAATTAAAGGATTAGGATGTGGCCTACATCCTTTAACAAGTTTCACTACTGACCTCACTACAAAGATTTTAGTCGTTAACTTTATTTATTTATTACTTTTAACTGCAAAATGTTTTCTAATAATAGCAAATCATAAAAAAGCACGTGGATATTCAAAGTTATTAGATGCAATTTATAGCTGATTAGATATTAGAGATTAGAGTTACGCAAGGCCCATCGACGTCGCTACGTACACGTTTCATTTTGAGAGATTTACACAATTTCTGGCAACATTTCAATTAATTAAAAGTCTGTAAAAATGTAAAAGCCTTCAGTGTTTAGTTTTAGTTGATATCTGTGGCATAGCAGGGGAAATGCTAAGCTACCTCGATGTCTATTTTGTTACGACCCGGCGAAAACCAAACATCACGAAACAATCCGCGTTACCTTTGGCTCTGTCAGTGGGATACAGCTTCTCGGCTTTGTTCAGAAACTTCAGCGCTTTCTCTTTGTCGCCCGAATCGAGAGCCGTTAACGCGATTTTTATACATTTTTCAGCCTCGTCCCTGTTGCCTTCCATCTTCTCCCCTTCCTCGTTCCTCCCCCGGAAGAGTCAGCTGACCGAGGACGCACCACGTGGTCAGGTCACGTGGGGGTTTTCGGCTCTTTTAGGGGATCGGATTCTTTTGGATAGTTTCATTTATATTTATTTATTTTTTTATTTACTTATTACCTCCGCCAAGGAGGTTATGGCGTTTGTCTGTTTGTTTGTTTGTTTGTTTGTTTGTCTGTTAGCATTTTAAATCTAAATTCTTTCTATTCTGACCAGAATGATTCGCACTAGGATCTAGTCAAAACATATAAAAAGGAAAAATTAACGAAATTCATTCTACATATAAATACTCATATATAAATATTCCATGACTTTTTAAGTACAGTTTAATTTAAAATTAATATAAATGTCATACATCTAAGCTATATTTGATATTTTGGTTCAAAGACTTGATTTGACTTGAAGCTCAAAGCAGACGACTTGGACTTCACTTGGATTTGAAGGTCAGAGACTTGAGACTTGACTCGGACTTGAGACCTGTAGCTTGAGAAGACTTCGGAATCACCTTTAAATCTAAATTCTTTCTATTCTGACTGTAATGATTCACACTAAGATTTTGTCAAGACAAAAATCATTTCTACAACTCTTATATAAACACTCATATATAAATAAATAATGATTTTTTAAGAACAATTTAGTTTAAAATTGATATAAATTGCAAAAATCTAAGCTATATTTTGTATTTTGGTTTAAAGACTTGAAATGATTTGAAGCTCAAAGCAGACGACTTGGACTTGACTTGGACTTATGGGCCAGTGACTCGAGACTCGACTTGGACTTGTCTGTATTTGACTTGGGACTTGACTCGGACTTGAGGGCAAAGACTTGAGACTTACTTGAGACTTGCAAAACAACAACTTGGTCCCACCTTTGATCGGTATAAATAAAATTGTGAAAAGAGCATGTAACATTATTTGTGTTTCAGTTTGTGGATATCCAAAATGGGCTTTCAATAAAACAACGAGAGCTAAAAAACAGGACAACAGAAAATCAGAAGCCAGGAGAAAGGAGAAAGGATGTAACTATTCCTTACATGGCTGGTGTTTCTGAAAAACCTACAGAGGATTTTCAGACAACATGAAATCCCAGTCTATTTCAAACCTACAAACACTTTAAGACAGAAACTGGTCCATTCAAAAGACAAAACACAGAGCCACAAAAACAAAAACAATGTGGTTTACTCCATTCAGTGCAGTGAAGACTGCAGTGAACACTACATTGGAGAAACAAAACAGCCACTTTACAAGAGGATGTACCAACACAGACGAGCCACTCCTTTATAGGATAGCTCCTCCCTTCATGCAGATATAAAGAAGTGTCCACAAGTGTTCTGACCAAAACTGAAGAAGCAGCTTGGATGAGCTATGAAACGTATTCGACTAAATAAACTTTTGTCCAGTTGACAAATTGAATTCTCCTTTTGCCATGGATTCCACCTGGACGACTGAGGGATTTTACACACATTGTCCATTCTTGACTCACTTGTGGGTCAGTCATGATCTGAGGGACTGTTGTTGCATTTTCTGTCTTATGGTCAGTTTCAAGGATGGTTTCTATGTTTTAGCTCAATACAATTACAATTTATTCCTCTTTGGTGTTGGTGGGGATCAAACTGGTCAGAAATGGGGACAGCTGGGACATTTCTTGTATCAAATTGGGACAAATCACTTGTTTTGAATTAATCTGCTGGGACAGGGGACACAGGGCTCAAAACTAGGACTGACCTGGGTAAATAGGGTCATCTGGTCACTCTAGACAAAAGCCAAAGTGTAGAGATGCATTGGTTCAAACTTAAAGTGGCAGTAAATTAAAAAAAATATAAAAATGTTGCACTACAACCATGATGATAAAAAAAAAAAAAGCTCTCACTTGTGTCAGCTGCCCTGCTTCTGTGTTGTCTCTTGTGTTGATTCAGGGAGAGAGAGAGAGTTATGTATGTCAACTATTATTACTATTATTTATTTTTTGCTCAGCAACCTCATGAGTTTTTCTTCTTTATTTCTGTTTTTTCTTGTTATAGGATTAGGCTATACAGCTTGCCAAGAACAAACACATATCAAAATTGAATTTCCAAAGTTCTTTACTAAAAATCACTGTGACAATCACACAATGACACATCAACATTCATCTTTTTCATACAAGTTTTTGATGTTTTCAAACACACACTGTACATATCCATACATTTATAAAGGGCCGTTCTAACTAGTTAAAAATTATGTTTTTTGTACAAAATTCTGTATTTTATTTAACAGTATTATTTAATTGTACACAACACTTAAAGACCCATATATTACATGACAGAGCTGTGTAGTCCTTATTGCACAGGTTCAAGCTGGAGTACGTGAAGGAGGAAGTTTGGCTGTGAATGTTCCCATTGTGTTGAGAGCAGCATGGATACGGAAATGTAACCTTGACTCCATGTTGTAATCTTTGTAGTTTGTCCTGTAAAAACACAGTGGAAAAACAAGAATTTGCATGTAAATGTGAAAGAATTCAAAAGATTGTATATTGAATGGCTCTAAAAGTACAAACTTGATGTTTTCCATTATTTCAATGGCCTTGTCAAAGTCACCCCGCTGCTTGTGTACAAGTCCCAGCTCATACATGGTGTATGGAACGAGATAGTTGTTGAACTTTATTTCTTTTTCACTGAAATATACACACAAATTTGACACATTTAATCCCACTGTTCCAATAAAAAGAAGGACATGCATGCAGTCATATATTTAAGCGGAAATGTGGGTGTGTATAAGTGTGTATAGGTTTATATATTTAGGAACTACTTGCCCTGATATAACATGTTTGAAGCACAGTTCAGCCTGGTCCAGCTGCCCCAGCTCTCTGAGGCACAGGCCTTTGAGCAGCTGCACCACACACTGGTCATCCAAGTGGTACTCTGAAGGAGCTGTACACACCAGACCACACGATTAAGGCCCTCACACACACTACAGAACACAATTAAGCTCTAAAACCATCACATGACTCCTGCAGCACATACTTTTGGAGTCATTGAGTTTCTGTTCGGCTGTTTTCAAGGAGGTCAGGAAACCTTCAGTGAGCTCAGGTCTTTTCCCCACGACTGTGAATCCATTCCATACGTAAATCATTTCCTGTGGGGAAGTTTGAAATGATTGTAATCAATATTTATTATTTATAAAATGTTATCAAAAGTATTATTGGTGCTTTCATCTGTTCTCACCAAAGCAGGGACGACAAGTTCCACAGGGTTCGAGGAATTGTATCGATCTGCTTTCTTTGCTGCAAACTTCTCAGTAGGAATGGACTTTCCAGCGATCCTCATCTTCAGTCCGTCCACCTGCCTACGAACACATCCAAATGAGCTGTGTGTACTCATTTAATTAAAGGACTGCACTGGTGAAGGGTCTGCTACCTACTTGTCTCCACGGAGATGTTATAGCTTTGCCCAGAATATTCCATGGTATGACTTTAAACATATACGTCTAGCACAGGGGTGTCCAAACGTTTTTCATCAAGGGCCACATCTCTAAACACAAACGAAGCAGAGGGTCGATCGAGGGCCGTAGACTGGTGCTGAATATAGTGAATAATTAAAATATGTGCATGTTTAACCCGTTAGAATGACCTTCTATTCATGCTAAGATCCTTAAAACCACCACTAAATATTAAATATAAGCTTAATGAAGGTAGATTTTAAAAAAAAACTTGCAGTAAAAAGTACATTTTTAAATTGATGTAAGGTAATTTGGGCCAATTCACCTGGAAGCCTGAGGGCCAAGAAAAATTTGTCTGAGGGCCGCATTTGGCCCACGAGCCACACTTTGGACATGCCTGGTCTAGCATTTATTCATTATGAGTGTTTCTACTGCTCAGAAATACAATAATTCCTTCAGATGTGAACTGTAATCTAGTGTCCAGCTTGTCTCTTTTGTCATACATAGGCTGTGGAACCTTCCAGACAAAGCAATAACATTTCCATGGAGACAAACGCGTGGCAGACCCTCCACTAGAAATGTTACGCAGTGCACCTTTAACACCCGCATTGTTTACCTGAATAATTCCACCACATTCTCTCCCATTTTCTCCACGTCCTCCTTTGGGAGCATACTCAAGATCGCCGCTTTTAAAAACGTATAAACAGCCTACAAGGAAAAAGGAAAAAAGTTGTGTTACTTGAGGAAAAATACAGATACTGAAAAAAATAAATATTCAAGTAAAAGTAAAAATATCACATGAAATAAACTACTATCCTAAATATAAAGTAAAGTATAAGTATTAAAGTACCCATTTATACAGTAAAAAGTAAAGCAGTGTTTTCGATTTAATAAAGTTTCAAACATAGTGATTTTGATAAAGATTTGTGCTGAATTTTATTAACAAGAAACGACTGAATCAATATTTTGTTCCTAGTTGTTTTTATTGATATATTTTGTTTGCTAAAATTATGAACTGAATCAAAATAAACACCTCGGCCATTTCAGAAGACATCAAATAATAATAAATACTTTCAGATACCTACAGTAAATGCCTCAAATGCAGTGAAGCAAAAGTAAAAAGTATTCATGTTATTAGGTTCTTTTTTCAGACCAAGAGTTTGTTTTCATACCTGTAAAAATAACCTAATAACAAATTATCGGAAGACCAAATGAACCTCGTTGGACTGAAAAGTATTCACTTAAAAATGTACTACAGTTACTTTGTTACGTTCCACCACTGCAACTGCACTTCTGAAATGAACTAAAACAACACTTATTTCACCTGTGACCACTTGCTCTCTTTACACAGTAGATCAGCGTAACGATAGGCCTCTCTCCAGTTCTGTTCAAAGCTGTAGGCCCACATGAGCTCCCAGTAACACAGGTGATGGATCTGACGCCACTCCTCCTGCGCCGCAATGCACGCCAAGAACTTCTCCTGGGCCTGAAAGAAGAAAAACAACAAAGTCACTCCCTTAGTTGATACTTTGAAGTACGCTCTAGTACACTCTGAGCTTTATTTTAACACATTCTGACCAG